CCCGGACCCGCCAAACAACAATGATGGCTGCAACCAAAAAATAGCCAGGCGTTGTGGCGGGCACCTATGGTCCCAGCTACTTGGGAGGCGGAGGCAGGAGACTCGCTTGAGCCCAGGAGTTGGAGATTGCTGTGAGCTGAGATGTCACAGCACTCTACCCAGGGGGAAAGCTTGAGGCTCTGTCTCCAAAAAAAAAAAAAAAAAAAAGAAAAGAAAAGAAAACAACAACCAAAGCAAACAAACAGCCTTCAGAATGGGAAAAGTTATTTGCATATTATGAATTGGACAAAAATTTGACAACTAGGATCTATAGAAAACTCAAATTACTCAACAAAAAAAAGACCTAACAATTCCATATCACTGGGCAAGAGAGATGAATAGAACTTTCTCTAAAGAAGACAGACAAATGATTAACAAACATAAGAAAAAATGCTCATTGTCCCTAATCATCAGAGAAATGCAAATCAAAACTACCCTGAGATATCATCTCACTCTAGTGAGAATGGCCCACATCACAAAGTCTCAAAGTTGCAGATGCTGGTGTGGATGCCGAGAAAAGGGAACACTTTTACACTGCTGGTGGGACTACAAAGTAATACAACCTTTTTGGAAGGAAGTGTGGAGAATCCTCAAAGAATTGAAATTAGACCTCCCACTTGTGATCCTGCAATCCCATTACTAGGCATCTACCCAGAAGAAAAAAAAGTCCTTTATCATAATGACCTTTGCACTAAACTGTTTATTGCAGCTCAATTTACAGTTACCAAAATGTGGAAACAGCATAAATGCCCAACAACCCAGGAATAGATTAACAAGCTATGGTGTATGTAGACCATGGAATACTATTCAGTCACTAAAAATGATGGAAACTTTACATCTTTTGTATTAACCTGGATAGAGGTGGAACACATTCTTCTTAGTAAAGCATTACAAGGATGGACAAGCAAGAATCCAATGTACTCAATTCTAATATGAAGGCAGCAGATGAGCTAATATAAGGGGGGTGGGTAGGGGAATGTGCACGTGGGAAAAGGGAGGTAGGTGGGGTATGGGGGATCACGGTGTATGGCACACCTCTTGGGGGTGGGACAGAATTATAAGAGGGACTTTATCTAACAAATGCAGTCTATGTAACCTAATTCTTTGTACCCTCAATGAATTGCAAACAACAACAACAAAAAAATAAATAACTCCCTCCAGAAAACAAGACCAGCTAAATGCAGTCTTTAAGAGACACATTTAAACTTATCTGTATATTCATATTTAAAGTATATTTCAACAACATATAGTTGATCTTGTATTCTGGGTTTAAAGAAAAAAAACAAACCATAAATCCATTCTGACAATCTCTATCTTTTAATTGGTGTAGTTAGTTCATTAACATTTAACATAATAATTGGTATGGTGCGTTAGGTTTAGGTCCCCCACTCAAATCTGTTGCCCATGCTTACCCTCTATTCACAGGCCATTACATTCCTAACACTCTCCCTCACTTTTCATCTTCTGGACCTACATTCAGAGACCCAGCAGGGTTTTCCTTTCTACCTCAAGATCAGGGTATGAGGATCTTCCTAAGACCCAGAGCCTTCTTAGTGAGGAACAGAGTAAAAGACAAGAAAAAGTCAATTACTTACAGGATTTCAGGTACACAAGAAAAGTCCTCAACTGCTAAGCTCTCCTAGGGATCCTGATGCATTATGAGGCACACTCTAAAATTAGCTTTTAGAGAAAACCAAATAGCTTAGATGAGACCAGAGATAAGAAGATTCTCTGACAGTATGTCCAGTTTTGCCCAGGGCAGTGAGATACTATGACCCTTGACTAACTTTTGCTTCTCTATTCTCCTTTACCATCTTCCTTCATCATTCTGGTGTCTCTTCCTAAGTGCATTTCTTTCCATAAAGCTCTTAATGTTTTCTGTTTTCACTCCCAAGATTTTTGAAGTGAGCAAATTCTCTGAGTCTATGCATTCCCCCATAATGCTGTGTGAGAAATAGATCATTGGTGTTCGCTAAATCCCAAACACATTCCAGAGCTGTGCATCACTGCCACCTCCCTCATCTCAGCCATGATTTTATTTTTACTTTATTTTTTAGTAACTAGACACTGAGCCATCAGCCATGATTTTAGCACAGCATAGCTGCATCTCATTTGTGTTACTTATAGATAATCCTCTAAATTATTAAAAAGTTATTTCCAGCCATTCTTGTAAAATGCACTTATCTTTCCAACTAAACCATGGAAAATCACCAATCAGAAATCCTTGACAATTTTTCAAAAAGTCCTACTGAGTTTGTGTTTAATCTATCTGTATGGCTCAGACATTTCATGTGTACATCTAAAATTTTACAGTTGGTGGTGATGGTTGTACTCTGAAATATGCCATCAAAAATTTCTTTCCATTTATGTTGATATTACCAAGTAACAGTTTAAAGTGAAAATATATATACTAGGAAAATCATATTAATTATATAAATTCTGCCCAAAGAATTGTCTGTTTTAAAATATAACTTATTTTCCTTGTTTTTTATCTATAATTGCTGCATGGGAATGGAGGGCTTTGGTACTGAAGGATCTCCCTTTCCTTTTTGTAACTCACTTTATTCTTTCTCCTCTTATTGTCATATTCCACTGTAAAGTGAACAGCAACCATAAAGATGATCCAAAGTTAGTAATTTTTCGAAGGACCATCCCAAGTATGACCTTGTGTACTTCATACAAAGTGGAGTGAGCTCAGATGCCTCTGAGGCCAGCCAAATACCAAGGGGAAAAAAAAAGGGTGTGGAGTGCAAAGAAATGTAACTCAATAGGGAGGGGATGGGACCACAGCAAACATGTTCTGTCTAAAGGAGGCGATTACTTCTCAGCTCTGGCATGTTGCTATCAAGAAGGAATGTGAGCTAGTGCTGTCAGATCTCCAAGTTTTATTTTTAATTTTTATTTTTTTAGATCTCCAAATTTTAAATGAGAAACACAGAAATCTACATTCTTATGAGCAATCTCTGGAGAGAACTAATTCAAATATTTTACAAAATCAGCTGATCTTTGCTTGAAAGTTTGTTCTACTCTTCAGGACCATAATTTTGTACCTTTTGAAATACTGAGATTATGCTATTTCTTTTACATTAATGTTTTAGAGCTTCATTGTTCGATAATACATTAGCTATTAGTAATGTTTGACTATTAAGTAATTGAAGTGTGGCTAGTCCAAAATGAAATGTGTTGTAAATATTATATAAAATACATAATGGAAGGCTGGGTGTGGTGGCTCATGCCTGTAATCCTAGCACGTGAGGAGGCTGAGGCAGGTAGATTGTTTGAGCTCACAAGTTTGAGACCAGCCTGAGCAAGAGTGAGATTCCGTCTCTACTAAACACAGAAAAACTGAGGCAAGGGGATCACTTAAGCCCAGGAGATTGAGGTTGCTATGAGCTATGATGCCATGGCACCCTACTAAGAGTAAAAAAGTGAGACTCTGTCTCAAAAACAAAAAAATTCATAATGGATTTTGAAGTCAGTACAAGCTTATATAAAATATTTTAATGTTTTTTATTATGTGTTAAAATGATAATATTTTGGATATATTTGTTAAATAAGATATGTTATTATAATTAATTCCACCTATTTCTTCTTCTTCTTTTTTTTCTTGTGTGTATGTGTGTGAGTGTGACAGAGCTTTGCTCTATTGCCCGGGCTAGAGTGCAATGGTATGATCATAGCTCAATGTAGCCTCTTACACTTTTGGGTTCAAGGGATCCTCCTATTTCAGGCTCCTGAGTACCTGGGACCACAGGTGTGTTTCACCCTGCCTGGATAATTGTTTTACTTTTTAAAATGTGCTGTTAGTATTTTAGAATTGTATATGTGGCTCACATTACATTTCTATTGGACAGCACCACTCTATTACTAAAAAAAAAAAATAATTGAGTATAACCACTGCAGTTTTAGGCAGCCAGTGTCCTAATAATCTCATCCAGCAGCAGTGAGTTGATGGTGGGCTTCACACTAACACCCCCACTGGGTGAGTGCTATTTACATGTTGTCTTTTCTTATTGGCATTTGCCCATGGACACCAAGACAAACAAGGATCAAGGGTGACTGCTCAATGAAGCAGATGTCTTCTGGAGGTCTGAGGTGGGGGAAACCATTGTGCCTACTTGTCTATGCCTATGTTTTTCCCTTGGGAGTGACAATGGAAAGGGCCATGGGAAGAATTGCAGAAGAACCTGAAGAATTTGGTGATGGTAAGCAGGCTAGCAATAGGTAGGAGAGTTCCTCTGAAAAGTTGATATTTGCATGTTTATAAGCAGTTATGATTGTGTATTAGGGTCACTGGGAGAAGGTGGCAGGAACATGAAATGTGAGTAGAGAACGGACTCCTGTTTATGAACTCTTTGGACAAGCCACTGTGTTCAGGTGCTGTTCACAAAGCATCTCAGACCAGGTGATCTAGTGGATGAAGTTTAGATGGTTTTGGGGGGACCACAATTACATTCTGGTCTTTTGTGAGGTAGGTATCCCAGAGCAAGGAGCCCTGACCAAGGAGGGCCCCAAAGGAACTGTAGGGCAGGGAACTGGGAGGTGATCTCAGCAAATGTTGGAAGCTCCTGATTGAGAAATTGGAATTGTTCTTGAGGATTTTTGCTGCCTGAAAATTAATTCAGTGTTCCAGGTGTGGTGGGTTATGCCTGTAATCCTCAACACTTTAGAGGCCAAAGTGGGAGGATTGCTTGAGGCCAGGCATTTGAAACTAGCCTGAGTAAGAGCAAGACTCTTATCTCTACAAAAAATAGAAAAATCATCCTGAGGCAGGAGGATTGCTTGAGCCCAGGAATTTGAGGCTGCAATGAGCTATGCTGATCCCATTGTATTCTATCCCAGGCAACACAACAAGACCCTATCTCAAAAAAATAAAAAATAAAAATCAAATAGTTGGGATTTTTATAACATTATTTACTACTACTAGCATCTAATGATTATTAATGAAAATTATTTTTCAGAAAATAACCAGTTCACCCCAGAAGTTAATCAGCTGTAGAAAAGAAGAGGTAGATGCCTGTGCCATGACTACTGTGCTGTCTTCTGAGGAACTCTTCAGGACCTGGATCTAGTGGGCTTGGAAAGGGCCCAGGTGAAGCTGCCAACCTGGACTGTATGACACAGGAACTACAGGGGACAGGTTGTGCTTGTTTTCTTCCATGGACAAGGGTCAGTAGGAGAAGAGCCTACTGTCTACAGAAGCAGAGTGGTTAATTTGACAGAGCTGACTTGGGATCAGATATGATCTCTAGACCTGCAGGTGCTGTTTTCCTACCTGAGTGACCCTGGGAAAGTGACTTTATCCCTCTGGTGCTCAGTTCTCTCATCTGTAAGGGGAAGATCAACTATACACCTGCTAAGTATACATACCCAGGCAAGTGCTGGGTGTATATGTGTGTACAATATAAAGGACTATATTTGAGATACACACACACACACACACACACACACATATACATGTCCATACCCAGCATTTGCAGGGCTGTAGAGAAATGTGATATAGAACAGTGTTGTGATTGGTTCAGCTATTTGGGAGAGAGGGACATAAATGTGCAATAATAAATATCAAGGCCTCTGCATGCTGGTCGGCTTGGAAGTCCCACTTTACCAGAGGAAACCTTGGTGAGGAAGGGAAAGATGAAAGCAATGGTGTTGATTTCACTTCAAGCCAAATGCCTATGCAGAGGTAAATGAGGGGCTCAGTAAGCTCTACAGTAGGTGACCTGGAATAAGGTCCCAGTGCACAGAAAATGGAAGATGCACAAACACGATGGATCATGACACTGTGAAGGATGACGGTGTGTGTGTCCTGAGACAGCAGCTGGACATTTGTGTGTGATGAGATGACAATGCAGAAGGATGCCTAGAACAAGTGGCATGTTTGCTGTGCTCCTTTTCCCTATGGTGTCACCAAAGGCCAAAAAGTGGCCGCCTTGGGTGATCTTTCTTGTTCCTGATCAAAAATGGTCTTTAAAGTTCTATATATTTATATTATCAACCTTGAGTCCAGAGAGACCACAAAGGACACCTGTGATCAGGGGTGTGGGGATGAACTCATGTAGGGCCTGGGATAGGGGTGGAGCAGTCTCAGTCCCTGGGAGTCCAGAACCAGGGGCTTCCTGGGCTGGGGGTGTCTGTGGCTGCCTTAGGACCCCAACTAAGGCAGCTGGCAAAAGCTTGACTTGCTTTTAGGCCTTCCCTGTAGGCCCCACCCACAGGGAATCCCTTAGGGACCTTTTTTTCCTTGATAGCTTACTCAGGGAGGTGCTTATCCTTAAGCACCTCCTTCTGTTCAGTAGTACCTATCTCTGGAAGACTCTGTTGACCCTCTCCCCAGCCAGGTGAAGAAAAGGGCCAACATAGACAAGTGGAGGGAAGAACTTCCTTGAGGCGTGAATGGCTGAATGAGCAGGGCCTGTGCCTTGCGTTGTAACTTCCGCCATACCCACCAGCTCTGGAGTCTCTAAGTTGGTCGGTCTCCATGCCCTTTCCTGGGCCCCTTACAGTTACCCTAGCAGTGGGACAGTCTAACTGCTTCAAGGGGTCTCATGGCTCTTTCTGTACCTTGTGGGGTCTCTCCAGGATATTAAGTCACTGAAGATGTTTTTGTTTGTATCATTTTGTGTGCTTCTGTGTTGTTTGACTCTTTTATGAAGAAAGTGTGTTAATTTTATAAATGGTCTAAGCTGGAAACATGTTTTCTGTTTGCAAAAATAAAGACCATGTTACTATACTGGTCCTCACTTGCCCTCCTCCCTCTTCCTTGTCTCTTCATCTTGGGGGCACTATCTATCAGTCCATCACCAGCTCAGGCCCTCAACAGAGATATGACCTTGACCTCCCTCTGTTTGAGTCTCTAACTAGTCCCAGTGCCCATCCATTTCTGATGTCTTATATAGGTGTGTAGAAATTTCTCTTTTCTTCTGTTGTCTTCCCATGTCCCCAGCATGCATTTACTGAATTAGGCCCCAACAGTATAGGGGCTGTCTCCTCTGTAGCTGGCTATTATTTCTCTCCTGGAGTGCTTAGATCCTGACTCCCCAGGACACCTCTCTTGGAGCAATGGATTTCCCCTGCACCTGGGGTCCTGAATTGGTGGTGGTGGGGGTGCATGATTAGTAATTGCAGCAGGACAACAGGTGTAAACTGGGACTGCTCTGGGTAAACCAGGAGTCAAAAGATACAGCTCCCTGCCTCACTCTCCTTCTAGAAGTATAAACTTTCTAGATGCTCAAAGTCCAGGCCAGACTCCATACTAATGACTTGCTCAGCCAGTCACTGAGCCCTGTAAGAACTGAGGAAAAGTACTGGAGGGGAGTGGGTGTCTGGGAGCAGCCTAGAGTGGCTTCTGCTGTTTTAGTCAGTGTTGACCATCTCTTGCAACCCTTGGGTGCCCAGAAGATCCCCCCAACCTCCAGAATACACCCCAGCCTTCTTAGTCCTATCTTTAGGGAACAAATGCCAGGGCCCAGTGAGTAAAACCACTGCTCCATGAGGCCTAACTCCAGTAGGGTAAGGGAGAATGACAATAATATTACAATCATAAAAGCGTATTATTGTTATTATTAAGTGAATTATCTAGTATGTTGAGAGTTTGTAATTTTTTTTTGAAAAATGAAAAGGTAGAGCAGAAAATGGGGCCGAGGGGAAGGCCTCCACTGTCCCCAAATGAAAGTGAATGGAAACAGCTGAACCAAAACTCTTCTCAGGTAAGTCCTTGCATAGTAGCCACAGTGTAAGAGACTATGAGATTATGACTGTACAACAAAGTAAAGTGGCAACACATCCTTAGAGTATGCAGTCTAAAACAAAAACTACATTCAGCATTTGTACTGTTTGTATTGATAATATATTTTTTGAACTGTTCTCTTATCAGACAAAACAAGTAAATAACTATATTCTTTGTTAGGAACCTAGGTTTCAGGATTAGTGACGAGGAAGGCCAATTGCAGGTCCCCAAATTTAAATAAGAGCAGTGTACTTTTAGAAATGAATCAAACATATTAGCGTTAAACCATGCCTGCATAAATCATTTAATTTTAAACATTTTGGCACTTTTCCACTGAAATAGCCCAGTGGAAATGTCACCCCCATAATACATTTAATGCTCAGATTTCAGTTTCGAATGCTATTTTTCTCCCAAAGGAGCCAAGGTTTCTTGAAGCTATGGCTAATTCTGTATCAGTCCTGGGGTGGGAGATACTAGGTATTCCTAGAACACCTACAGCTTGTTGGGCCAGTAAGCAAAGCTTTAAATAATTGGGTCATCAAAAGTACACAAGAAACAATCTTTAAAAGGCTCCTTTGGCCCAAGTTGGGACAATGTGGTCATCTAAAAGAGTATTGGCTGGCATCAATTGATACAGTGAAGAATACTAGCAAGTGTAAATCCTCAGTCAGAGGCATTTCCCCCCACCGCCGCCAATCCCAGGTTCTCTCCCGCCTGACCCCCGGGCGTCGTTGCCCGGGCCTTCTCACTGCCTCCACTTCCCGCCTCTCTACACTTGCCCATCTCCAGTCCTGTCAAGCCATTCCCTGGCAAAATGTTTTAAAGTTCCCTTTACAGAGATATTGCAGACTTGGTCTGTCCTTTGGCCATCTCCATCTCCTCTAAAAGCATGTTTTTTGCTTATTTTCTGTGTGCCCTATTTTATCCTTAAGCTAACTTCCCGAGTGCACAAATCTGTTTCTTTCGAGTCTGGCGGGACTGGACCCCATCGCCAGCTTCCGGAGCCACCAGGCGGGAACGACCTCATTACGTCCACGGTGTCTGGCGCCACCCTATGGTGAGTGCTGGATAATTTTATCTCCTGTTTCCACTTTCAAGAAGGGTCCTTGGGCTTCCCGGATAAAAAGAAGCTCAGACTAGTTTCCTAGAATGAGAATTCACTTGCACTACATCCACGGGCTTGGCTCCTAGCCAGCCTCTACTGTCTCTGGTGGGTCTAAAATTTGGCAGCCACCATCTTTCTGTTCTGTATCCGTATCTGTGTTATGTCTCCAGCCCATGATAAGGGGGTTCACTCTGCTCTCCTTCTCCACCAGGCTTGGTCTTTACCTCACTCTTGGTCTGTTGGTCTTTCCGTTGCACTGCTATTCCCAACCACTTAAAAGGAGACTTTTTTTGATGTATTTTTTTTTTCTGTGTGTCCTATTTCTAGCTATCCCTGGGCTATACGGACTTTTGGGGGATGTTCCTTAGGCCACAGGGCAGTGGGGGGGGGGTGCCCCACTGCTGCAGTCTTGTTAAAACAGTGTGGTGCCCAGCCTGTGAAATTTGGCACTGGAATGCCAGAGTTTTTTTTTTTTTTAAATAAAAAATTAATCATGGTTATATCTCTGCTTATATATTTTTAATTTTAATTTTATTGAAGTATATTGGATTGTATTTTTGTGACATTCTTATTTGGCTGTGGGAAGTTTGAATTTTCTATGTAGTTAAGGTAATTGGTAATTGTGTTTTTAAAAGACTTCTGTGGACTTGACTACACTCTGTTGATTTAAATTAAAATAAGGACAGTAATAATTAATTGAAGAGGACAGTAATCAAAAAAAAGGACAGTAATAATATATAAGAAGCAAAGTCTGAATTTTGACCCATAAGTCAAAAGAGAGCTCAGGGAAAAAAATCTTAAGATACTGCATTTATAGGTAGTATTCATAAAGACTCTGTCAGAGAGTTAAAAACTCTTGACTAGTTCTAGAGTCAAGAAACTCCTAAGTGGAAGAACCATTTTGATTCTTTACTATGAATCTTGATGTAACAATACTGAACATGATGTGTCAAGTTGGTAAGGGAATGTTGAGTATTATAAAGGGATGGAACTTTTATAGCTCATATAAAAGCTATAAGTTAAAAAGCTTGGAAGATAAAAATAGGATTTAAAGAAAATAGAACCCCCCCCCCCAAAAAAAAAACTTGTGAAAGTAATATAGGTTAGACAGATCCAGTAACAGTGGGCAGAACTGGTTCATTCAGCCAAAAATCATGTGTGCCAATCAGGATCCTATGCCTATAGGATTAAGCCCTTGTGGATGACCTGTGGCCAGGGCAGTAGCCCAGGATCCTGAACTCAGAAGGCCACCCTCACCCCCAGCCCCCGTACGCTTGAGTTTATGCTCTGTGGTTGCTATTTTGAAATTCTGAATACTTTTACCCTTGAATTTGTGTAAATGAGGTCCAGTGGGACAACGGAGCTTGTGTCAGGGGCTTGGAGCCTCAGTTCACATGTGGGCCTGCTTTGTACAGCCTCTTTGGCATAGATTTTCAGCCATCCACTCCCCTGTCCCTTGGATCCCAGATTGAACTGACCTCCCCCTTCCTTGCCTGCACTCCGGGACCTTCTCTGCCTGTCCACCTTCCCAGGGGCCTGGGTGTGAGCTCAGGAGGGGTTGCTTGCTCACACCTTGTGATGTTTTAGGGCATGGTGGTGATTGGCTCTACTTCAGGATGGCACCATTCATCTTAGCTTCTCACTGCCCCTACCCAGCTATCAAATGCAACCCAGAGTAGAGAATTAGAGATCCTTGGGACCCCCCACCCCCATATGCAGGGGGTTGGGGCATAAGTCTGTGGCAAGGGGAGGTGCCTGGCTGGACTATTCTGGGCTCCATGCCCAGGTGATGCAGGGTAAATTGGCTGGCAGGTGTGAGGCTGAGCCCACAACCCCCAGAGCACGTGTGTGTGCTATGTCAAGGGAAGGCCTTCAGGCCCTGGCGAGTGGGAGTGTTCTCCCACTGGCTCCTTGTGGGGTTGGGGTGAGGATGTAGGGACAAATCCTCTTTTCCTCCATCCACTTTCTGAGTCTGGCATACGCTTGCTTGTTTTGGCCAGCTCATGGCACCCTTTGGGGATAAACCATGAAATAAGAAGTGTGTAATTTCTGTGATTTTGCACACCAGCCATAAATGTTCTCATATTTGCATTTAAAGTTGGCACTGCACAATATAATGATGTGCAGTAAAATTTATACCAATAACTTAAAATTTTGATATTTTCCACTTAGTATACCATTAAATAGCAAATAAAAACACACTCATGGCAAGCCTAGAAAGAGAGCACAGAAGAAAGGAAAAAACTTTCTACCAGGCCTGACAATTAAGCTGGTGAACTCATCCTAGAAAAAGTGCTACATACCTCATTGGTCACTGTCAAAATATTCCCCTTGGGAAGTTATGCACCAACTTCAGTGCCTACCCTTCAGAGCAATTTTGGAACTCTTCTTTTTTCTGGAATAGCCACAGAGCTGTTGTTCTATTACTTGATGTCTTGAATGTCATCAAAATACCTTCCTTTCAATATTTCCTTTATCTTTGGGTAAAGAAAAAGTCATTGGGGGCCAGATCAGATGAGTAGGGAGGGTGTTCCAATATAGTTATTTGTTTAGTGGCTAAAAACTCCCTCATGGACAGTGCTATGTGAGCTGGCACATTGTTGTGATGCAAGAGCCATGAATTGTTGGCAAAAACTTTGGGTCATTTTCGTCTAACTTTTTCACACGGCCTTTTCAGCACTTCCAAATAGTAAACTTCATTAATTGTTTGTCCAGTTGGTATAAATTCATAATGAAAAATCCCCGTATATGAAAAAGTTTAGCAACATCATTTTGATTCTTGATTGGACTGACAGAATATTTTTGGTCATGGAGAATTGGCTGACTTCCATTGTGTACTTTGGTGCTTTGTTTCAGGATTGCATTGGTACACAATTCAACAGCATTGAAGCATGTTG